CAGCGCTCCTCCAGAGTGCTGCTGCCGAATCCTGAAGACTGCCTCCTGCCTCCTACACGTGAAGTGCCTGGGAAGTTCCTATGAACTACCTCGTGGTTGTCTGCAGCCTGTAGGGCGGGCCAGTCTTATATAGTGCTGGCCCGTCCAGGAGGCTGCTCTTGCCAATGCCAAAACGTGCCAGACCCTGGCATTGAAGTTCAAACAAGGGTTGTCTTGAAAACAGGCCAAAAATGGCCTGTGCTAAAACCCTGGTCTAGTGCCTAAGTTTCAGGGCAGGTCGATCTTACGAGGGCCTGAAAATGGCCCTCCGTTTCAGGCTGAAAAGACTCAGGGCCTGGAGGGCCCTGTTTTAGGCTGAAACGACATAGGGCCTGTAGGCCCTCGCTTTCAGGCTTTCAGGCTGAAAACGACACCAGGCCTGTAGGCCCTTGTTTTCAGGCTTTTAGCGACACAAGGCCTGTAGGCCCTTGTTTTCAGGCTTTTAGGCTGAAAACGCTGGTCGGGCCCTGCAGGCCCGTGTGGCTGCGCAGTATGCCAGACCCCCCCCTCCTTGAAAGACCGAGCTTACCAGTGCGGGTGAAGCTGTCTATCTGAGGGAGGGTCCAAAGTCTGGGTGGGAGGGGCAGGATGTGAAGCTCCCTTAGCTAACCTTTGTCGTTCGTAGTGAGCCTAGATCAGCAGTGCGGATGCTTTCAAATTTGCTCCCGAAATCCATCGAGTGTCGTCGGCATTGCATGCTTTGAAGGTAACTTTGTATTGTCGAGGCTTGCCGCCGTACTTGCGATCCGTGATGACGTGGTCAACTTCCTGATGACCATCCATAGATGGAGGGTCTTGCGATCATCGGCCCGGGAAGTCGTCGCTCTTAGTTGGTGTATATATCGCCAGCTTCGAGGCGTGAAAGACTGGATGGACCGTCAGATGCGGGGGAATGTTGATCACAAATGAGGGGCCATCGGGCTCATCGCCTGCGGCTGATGTTACGGGCCATGGTCCAAACCACTTGGGAAGCAGTTTGCACAAAACATCCGGCTCGAGTGCAAACTCTTCCACGGAGACCCACACCAGATCACCGGCGCGGATGGGACATGGCACGCGACGCCTGTTGGCTTGCTGCTGCATTCAGACTTGAGCCTTTTGCATGTTCACGCGGGCTTGAGCCAACAGTTCCCTGTACTTCCGGACGGAAGCCGGGGAGCAAGCAGCGTCTACGTTGGCTGTTCGTGGGAGGAGAAGATCAACAAAGATACGGCCTTTCCGACCACCGTGGTGCAACTCGAATGGAGTCATGCCGATCACCGGATGCAATGACATGTTGTAGGCGAACTCGATGCCGGAGAGGCGGTCAACCCAATCCTTCTGATCCGGACGGATGAGCGTACGAGCATCATTTGAGCAGTTTGATGTGCCTGCTCCGTTTACCCGTCCGTTTGTGGATGTCGAGCCGAACTTGGTTTCATCTTGGTGTCGAATTCCTGCATGAGAGAAGTTCAAAATGCTGACATGAAACGAGTGTCGCGCTCGTTGACGATGTCTTCCGGTACGTCATGGCCGCAAATCCAGCCGGTGTGCGAGAGGCGCGCAAGTTCGGGAGTCGTAGCGTAGTACTGGCAAGGGAGAAATCGCGCGTACTTACTCAAACGGTCAACGACCGTGAGGATGCCGTCGTGCCCAAGGCGATCATGGGGAAACGGACCGGTGACTTCCATGGCAATGGAGAGGTCGGGTTCCTGTCGGATAGGCATCGAGCGTAACTCGCCGTAGGGATTGCGGTTGTGGGGCTTGCTTCGTCGACAAACTTCGCAAGAGTCGCTATACCGAGTGACATCGGTAATGAGGTTGGGCCATCAGAATCGTTGTCGAAGTTGTGCAATAGTGCGATTGACTCCGAAATGGTCGGCGAGTCGCGAGTCATGGTACTCACCGAGAAGGCGAATCCGAAGACGACGGTCTCGTGGGACACACAATAAGTCATTGCCTCATGAGTGGAGGAGCAAGTACCCGTCGACGATGCGATAGTGGCTGGCCGGCGGGTGATCCGAAGATAGTTGCGCATACAACGTGGCGAAGTCCGGATCAGACTCATAGCCCCAAATGAAGTGCCGCTGGAGTTCCCAATCAAATTCGAAGGCATGATGTGTCATAGCGCAAAGATCGGGTCTTCGCGAGAGTGCATCAACTGCACCATTGGAGAGGTCGGCGAGATGTTTCGGTGTGAAGTCCAATTGATCGATGAAGTACATCCATCGTCCGATTGTGCTGCTCACAGTATCCTGCACCTTGTAGTAGGTCAACGGGTTGTTGTCCGTGACCCATGTGAACGTACGACGCCCAAGGAGGAAGTGCCGCCATCGCTTGAGAGTCATTACGAACGCGAGCAGCTCCTTCTTCCTTGCATCATCAAGTGAATTGATGGGAGGCACTTTGTGGCTGAAATCCTCCATGGGGTGCCAATCGTCGTCGTCGTGTTGTTCCAAGGCTGCCCCAATGCCATAGCCGGAAGCGTCAGTTGTCACTCTCGTTGGCAGGGTGGGGTCATAGATGCTAAGGACGGGTGCCATGAGCATGGCCGTCTTGAGTGCTTGGAATGACCGGCGTGCGCCGTCATCGAATATGAATGGCACCTTTGGCGATTGTAATCTCGTCATAGGTGCGGCAATCCTTGAGTACCCGGTGATGAAGCGTTGATAGTAGCCCGCCAACCCCATATGAATGAGCGAACGTCCGTTGTGTTGGTGGGCTCGGGCCATACGCGGATGACCTCGATCTTGTCCGCAAGCGGACGGATGCCTTGCGGCGTCACATAATGTCCCAAGTACTCGAGCTCTTGCCGCGTGAATTCGTATTTGTCGCGGTTGGCTTTGTACTCGGCTTGTCGTAGCTGCTTCAAAACGGTGCGCAGGTGCTCCAGATGCTCGTCCAAACTCCAACTGTACCCCAAGATGTCGTTGAGGTAGATGAGTACGAATCTATCCAGCATGTGTCGGAACTGCGTTGTCATAGCCGCTTGGAATGTGGACGAGGCATTCGTAAGGCCAAAAGGCATAACCAGCCATTCGAAATGTCCATATCGCGTTTTAAACGTGGTCTTGTAGCGGTCCTCCTGCCGGATCTCGAGTTGGTGATATCCCGATTTGAGGTCAAGCTTGGAGAACAACTTGGCGCCGCCCAGCCATTCGAGGGGGTCGTCGATGCGCGGAAGAGGGCCCGCGTTCTTGACGGTTTGCGCGTGGAGCTTGCGATAATCGATGCACAACCGCCAATCCTTGTTCTTCTTTCGGACGAAGAGAACGGGAGCACCGTATGGCGAAGAGCTAGGCCGAATTCAACCTTTCTCGAGAAGGTCGTCGAGTTGTGCCCGTAGCACACTTAACTCTTCCTCGCTCATGTGGTAGATGCAACCATGCGGAGGTACGGCCCCGGCCTCGAGGATGATCTCGTAATGGATGAGCCGATCCGGTACTACTCCGTGCGGGGCTTCGAACACGTCGCTGTAGGCGTCGAGAAGCTCGGTGATGCGTGGGTCCGGTGATGAGTCCGTCGATGGAATGTCATGGGGCGGGAGGGCGTGGAGAAAACACACCCCCATCTCCTCGATGTCATCCCGGATGATGGAAGCATGAATGCTTGCGGCGGATACCACGTGGCAGCTGATGGAAGGGTGAGGAGGAGGCATCGTGCATGGGACTAGTACTCCGTTCCGATCACGAACGTGAACGGTGCGGCGGTAGAAGTTCACCGGGTGATCCTCGCTTTGCAGCCATGACATGCCCAGGATCATGTCGAATTGAGTGTCCAAAATGTCGAAGGACACGGCCTCGCTTGCATTTGGGACGAAGTACACGGGGACGGATTCAATGCATCGGTCCATTGACTTGTGCGTTTGACCGTCGGCCAACGTGACTTGCATAGGCTGCGACTTCCTCCGAACGCGTGGCCCAAGGCCAGCGCGTACCATAAAGTCTTGGCTCATGTAGTTGCGAGTAGCTCCACAATCGATCAAAACGTTGCAGGTCGCCTCTCCGATCTGAATGCGTATGTATAACAATGGCTCGTCGATGTCGTCGTAGCGTTGTGTCTTGAACTCGTTGTCGATCTTCGCAACGTAGTCGTGAAGGTTGACAACATTTACTCCGGCGTCCATCAACGGAGCTGGTACTACAGTGTACAAGTAATCCCGCAATTGTGCCATGAGCACGTTGCAATGCGGTTTCGGCAATCGACCGGACGGGGGAAGGGGCATCCATTGGAAGTCCGCAAATGTCAACGGGTCGAGCTTTTCAAGTCTTGACCATAACATCGAATCCCCGGCGGTAGATGGCGGCGAAGCTGCCAAATCGGTTGTCGATGGTGGTGAAACCGTGCATGCGGTGGATGCACGTGGAGTGGTTGGTCCAACGGTGGGACCAAGTGGACAACATAATTCTCGTAAGTGAACCGAGGACTTGCGACATTTGCATCCTCCCCAGATGTCTAGGAGGCCGCTAGCAAGGCGGCCCAATCTAACGGAGTGAGAGGTGGAGTCGCCTCACCTTCCGTGCAACTCAGTTTCCTGAGTTGATGCGAGGCCGAACATCCTCCTTGCCTTGATCCGGGCATTGGGAGCTCTTATGCTTGGTGTTGTTGCACCAATAGCAGCAGCCATACCCGCCGCGCCACTTGTATTCAGCCTCGGTCAAGTGAAACTTGAACCATGGTGCTGGCGGTCCGTTTCCGGCCGGCGATGCGGTTTTCGCCTTCCCTTTTCCTCGGGAGTTGTTGTTGCTTCACGGCTGGACAACGGCCACCTGATCTCCCTCACGTGATGCTTGGGTGGCTGCCGGGTCTTCCACAATGTTGCCCGGTTGAACTGCAGTGACATGCTGCAGACGTGGACCACATTTTCCTTTCTCCACATAGGTTGGCTGCCACTCTAACTTCTCGTGTGCGGCCGCCCTGTTGGTGTTGATGATCTCCCTTGCCTTGTCGATGATTTTGGCGAAGGTCGTGTATTGCTCGCGACCACCAAGTGCGAGGCTCAAGGCGGCACATGACCAGTTGTAGAACTCCCAGTGTAGATGCGAATATGGCAACTCGAGATCAGGCGTTGCAGCGATCTTTTGCCATTCCGTGAGCTAGTCGCGTGTTGATGTGTTGCCTTGGGTCATGGCGAAGAGGCGGTTGATGGCGAGCGTCGGGGCGTCGTCCACGATGAACCACTTCTTCCATAGCCTTGCCAACTCTTCCCAAGAGATCTTCTCATGTAGATCGGCGACCTGGACGCCGTGAATGGTTGCCAGGTGGCTGAGCCAGATCTGGCATCCGCCCTTTGAGTTGAGGAACAGCGCGCCGATGTACGACTGCTCGGGGACCGAAAAGAATCCGAAGTTGCGTCGTTAAGCCCTCCTACCAGGGGACCGGGTCTTGATGCGTATATCATCGAACTTTTCGATGCGCAATGTCTGCATCTTGTAGTGTTGCCCACTGGTGTTGCCATCCTTGTTGGGCAGCTGGTGCAGTTGCTGAACCTCGGTCTTCAAGGTGTCCAAGTGCTTGCTGATGGTGGCTGGTGCAGCGAAGGTGCTGATGTCGCCGGGCATTGCGACTATGTGGTCAACTCGTTCCTCCAATTGGCGGGTAGAGGGTGCACTGCTGGACTCGCCAGCATCTGGTCTCGGTGCAACTTGCTCCATATCCTGTACACGGGAATCAAGTGCCCGTGTAGCATCCTAGTGCAGATCCTTGTGGTTCCGCACCGCCCGTCGGAGATTCGCCAGCTCGGGCTGGAGGTGGTTACAAGTGTAAACCAACCGGGTCACGAGTTTGGCAAGAAACTCCTTATGGTGCTCTTCCAGTGTCGCGTCTTCATGGTGCTCAGATGGTTCAAAATGCCAGAACTTGAGTTTTTCGATGCTAGCGGCTTCATGCCGTTGTAGCAGATCTTGGGCCTCCTTGCAGCATGCCTGGGTATCTGCGTCTTCTTCGGCCTGAAGCCACTGCTTTTCAGCTGTTGCCGCCACTTCAGCCTGTAGGCGGGTAGCCTCGGCTGCCGCCTGACGCTGTTCCTCAGCCTCGATCAGTGCGAGCTGAGCTTGGAACCACTGTCGGTATTCGGCAATGGACTCATTGGCCAGTTGGTCTGGAATGCCCTGAACTGAGATCGTCATGGTGGCGAGGCACTGTTGACGTGGCACTGTTGCTGACGTGGTACTGCGGACGTGGCACTGCTGACGTGGCACTATTGCTGACGTGGCACTACTGACGTGGCACTGTTGCTGACGTGGCACTATTGCTGGCGTGGCACTGCTGACGTGGCACTACCAAACCGGGAATGCAGGCAAAGGGTTAGGTGGGAGGGAAAACGCAGGAAGGGAACCAACCAAACTGTCTTTCCTCCCGGTTCTAATCGACAGAATAAAATAAAAATAAAAATAAAAAAAGAGGATCACCCCCCCCCTTTTTTTTGATATATCCGTCGATCTTCTATGAGTGAGGCATTTCAGAGGAGTACTATGAGCGGATGCAAGCAAGGTTCCAAAAAGTTTCGGTTAAAAAAAATATGCGATTTTGAAGAAAAAAAATTGCGCTAAATAGAGTGGAGGTTCCACTTTCAGAGAAGAATAATTCCAGTCTCCAAGAATATGGGAACCTCTATCGTTATCCTAATATGCCTAGAAAACAAAATGCTAACATTATAAATTTTCGGCTATGTATGCAAATATAAGAAGTTTTCGGATGCCAATATCAGAGAAACGAAATGCTACTATCAAAAATTTTCAAATATTTGTTGTGTGAAAACGAAATGCTAATATCAGAAATTTTCATAAAAATTTAAAAAAACAAAATGCTATTATCAGAAATTGTCAGATATTTGTTGCGTGAAAACGAAATGATAATATCATAAATTTTCATAAAAAACGAAATGCTATTATCAGCAATTTTCAGATATTCGTTGTGAGAAAGAAAAAAAATTGCAGAGATTTGACGAAGTCCTACTTGATTTACTAATAAACAGTCAATCAATCAATTATTCAACAATCAATAGATCAAGCAAGCTGGCTACTTGATTGGGCGGATCCTCTGATTGAGAGGTCCGCTCCAATACCAAATTGTCGCATACTGTAAAGATGCAGACCAGAACAAAAATCGACCACTCTCACATAGTACAAGATAGCACAGCAGAAGGCTTAAATACCAATTATCCGAACAATCAATGTTGCCATGCAAACCATACATACATCGTCATCATTCCATGGAGTGAAGGGGCCTGGCGCTCACACAGGAAGAATGTGCCAGTCCCCAACCATACACAGATGAAGAAGAGGGGGGTTAATCGAAGAAGAGGGGAAGATGGGAATGTCGTCAACAGACTCAACACCAAGTCTTCGGTACAGGTCCCAAATAATCCCTCGTCGAATGTCTGAATCCCAATGTCGCGTCTGGACCCAAATGTCGTCAAGTCCCAAAGTCACCAATCTCTCTCTCTCTCTCTCTCTCCCTCTCTCTCGTAGTCTGTAGATACTGAGTAGTCAGGTAGTGAGAGGGGGAGGAGGAGATGGTGGACTTAGAAGAGGAAGAAGAAGGACTCTCTCTCTCTCTCTCTCAGTCCGCTACTAACCTGTGAAGGTGGCGCCTTGTTGCAGGTACATCGAAGACGAAGCTAGAGCTATGGCGCCACAGGTAAGCCTCCCTTGCCTCCACCAACCATCTCTCTCTCCACTACTACTCTAGCTCCTGATAGCGCCCAACGTTAAGACTACTGCTAACGCTACTACTACTACTGCAGCGCTCCTCCAAAGTGTTGTTGCTGAATCCTGAAGACTGTCTCCTGCCTCCTGCATGTGAAGTGCCTGGGAAGTTCCTATGAACTACCTCGTGACTGTCTGCAGCCTGTAGGGCGGGCCAGTCTTATATAGTGCTGGCCCGTCCAGGAGGCTGCTCTTGCCAATGCCAAAATGTGCCAGACCCTGGCGTTGAAGTTCGAACAAGGGTTGTCTTGAAAACAGGCCAAAAATGGCCTGTGCTAAAACCGTGGTCTGGTGCCTAAGTTTCAAGGCAGGTCGATCTTATGAGGGCCTGGAAATGGCCCTCTGTTTCAGGCTGAAAAGACTCAGGACCTAGAGGGCCCTATTTTAGGCTGAAACGACATAGAGGTTGTAGGCCCTCGTTTTCAGGCTTCCAGGCTGAAAACGACACAGGGCTTGTAGGCCCTCGTTTTCAGGCTTTCAGGCTGAAAACAACACAGGGCCTGTAGGCCCTTGTTTTTAGGCTTCTTGGCTGAAAACGACACAGGGCCTGTAGGCCCTTGTTTTCAGGCTTTTAGGCTGAAAACGCTGGTCGGGCCCTGCAGGCCCGTGTGGCTGCTTAGTATGCCACACTCAAGGCTGGACTTACTTCCTCACAGTAAGAAGAGATTGAGAGGGTAGTTAAGGTAAGGGAACAATGTACCTGGAGATAACTGCCCCCAACCACAAATTTCTCACCAATTGAGCCGATGTGCATTTTGACAACCGGCCGTAGCTTTGGTACCACGCACAACGCAATGTAGTGCCACCTTAGCCAAAATGCCACATCAGCATGCTCTCATCATCACACATACATTTGTTGTCGCCACAGCTCCCACGCTATCACCATAGCCTTCCTGTGATGCACCCCTTTACCCAGGTGTCGCGTTGTCAAACCAGCGCCAATGTATCCTCATTGCACAAAATCATCGTCAGCGCACAAAGTAACAATGTCGCCGGCAACAGATAGGCGATCTTGAACCAGCTCCGATACCAAATTGCAGGGAATATGAGTGTGAGCGATATACAGAAAACCAAGTTGCAAAATCACTTAGAAGTCCAAATAGTCATGTAACAAGCAGAGAGCTGAAATGCACCAAGATTCCATCCAAATATGTGATGGGCCCACCGGTCCATAGGGATGAAGACGAAGGGTTGAGGGAGGAGGAGATGGAGGACGGACCTGGAAAGGACAGCGCGGCTCCGATGCAGACTCAGCACGCACGTACTCCGAAATGTGCAGAATGAAGAATGAAATGAAAACTGACTGCAGTTGGGGTATACCCCCAACGGACTAACTAAACTGTGGACTAGACTGGCCTGGTACAGGCAATTGTACCGGGCCGGGCTGGACTCGACCGAAACAACATACGGCCTATGGGGTCACTCTGCGGCCTAGTTCCACAGGCCGAACAGGCAAATAGCCCAATTGGCCCTGGTTGTAGGCCAGGGCAAATGGAGGTCCGTTGCACGATCCTCAAACCTGTTGTGGATCACAAGAGTCATAAACACGTTATCCTCAAAAGCAGTTGAACTCTGTGGTAAAGAAAGGCTAAAAATTTAGGATGCGGAGCAAGCTCTATGCGGAGTCCATGCGATGCAGCCTAAGCTACATAATGTCAAATGAAAAGCAAACGTCTGTATACACATCCTAACTAACAACGGAAAATGAAATGTAGCATGATACAATCCTAAAGTCCTTGAGGCAATCGCCTCAGTGTTGAAAGGAAAAGAGAGCAGTATGTCACAAGTATGTCATGTCGTTGAACCACTAAAAGTGGGATGGTCTCAAAGGGGTGAATGCAGCCTAAGAATCGAAACTCCTAAGGGCAGTCACACACGAAGGTGGGATACGTCATCAAGATCAGGGTGAGGGAGTGGTAGCGAAGCCAAACCAATGACCTAACAAATAGTCCATCAAGGCGGTTAATGCTCGACCATAAAAGGGGAGCCTGGAATAGGGAGGACGTATGCCTAACTAAAGGCATGCAATGACCGACACTAGCATGATAAGGGATGTAGTGGGTGAGGGAAACATGCACACAACTCACCGACAGGGGGAGAGAGTTAGATATGGGAGCAAGGAAACCAAGATAACGCTACAGTCCAAATGCCTATGCGATACCAAGGGAGAGCCCAACGCAAAGACACCCAGCTAAGTGAAAACCACCATGCGACACATGCAAGGGAATGTACAGGGTAGGGTGGTGACGTGAAGTAGTCACGTCCAAAGCAGTTAAAGTTGATAAGGTAGTTGAAGTCGTTCAGGTGGTCGATGACGTCGATGAAGTAGGAGTCGAGTCGATGTCGAAGCAAAGCCACAAAACGCTGACATCCTGAAGAAGCTGATGATGGAGTGCCTGAAGGTGTGAGTCAGTAGGGAGATGGTAGGTGGTCAGAGTGTCAGTCGTCGAGTCGCTGAGGGCGTCGACGAGTAAGTTGTGGACGCGCGGAGGTGTTTGTTTGCTGTTGAAGAATGATCGAAGAGGAAGCGAGCTTGACCTCAGCAATCTCCTCACCCGGAGGAAGAGGAAGAGGGTCAGTCGGTTGAGTAGGAGCAGACGTCTCAGCACTACGAGCACGATCATATGCACGCACCAACATTCGGGCATGCTCCAAGTGCTCGAGGGGCTCCCAAATAGCCTCCTCATCAGTATAGCGCTTCCAATGCACAAGGTACTTGTGCCGGACCCGCCGGGATGGCAGTCGGACAGGATGGAGAAGAAGGGGTTCAAGAAGGAGGAAGTGGAGATGGAGCTGGAAGGGACAGCGCAACTCCGACGCAGACTCAACACCGCACATACTCCAACAATTGCAAAAATGAAGAACGATGAGATACAGACTGCAGTTGGGGTATACCCCCAGCGGACTGATTGGACTGGACTGGACTGGACTGGTGCCGACAGTGGTACCGGACAGGATTGGATTAGATAGAAACAGTACACGGCCTGTGGGGTCAGGCCACGGCCTGGTCTCACAGGCCGAACTGGTAAATAGTTGAATAAGCCTTGGATGTAGGCCAGGGCAGATGGAGGCCCGTTGCACGATCCTCAAACCTGTAATGGATCGCAAGAGCCATAAATACGCTATCCGCAAAAGCAGCGGAACCCTGCAATAAAAAGAAAGTTGAGAAATCTAGGATGCGGAGCACGCTCCATGCGGAGTCCATGCGATGCAGCCTAAGGTACATAATTTCAAATGAAACGCAAATGTCTGGTATACACATCCTAGCTAACAGCAGAAAATGAAATGTAGCAATATACAATCCTAAAGTCCTGGAGGCAATTGCCTCAGTGCTGAAAGGAAAAAGAGCAATATGTCACAAGATAATGTCATGTTGCTGAGCCACTAAGAGTGGGATGGTCTCAGAGGGGGTGAATGCAGCCTAAGAATCGAAACTCCTAAGGGCAGTCACACATGAAGGTGGGATAGGTCATCAGGCTCAAGGTGTGAGAGTGGTAGTGAAACAAAACCAAGGACCCTAACAGATAGACCATCTGGGCGGGTAATGCTCGACAAAAGGATGACACCATGCATGGTCGACCATGAAAAAGAGGGAGCCTGGAATAGGGTGGAGATATGCCCAACTGAAGGCATGCAAGGGCCGACACTAGCGTGATCAGGGCAGTGGGTGAGGGCAACATGCACACAACTCACCGACTGGGGGAGGAGGGAGCTAGATCTGGGAGCAAGGAAGCCAAGATAACGCTACGGTAATGCCTATGCGATGCCAAGGGAGAGCCCAACTCAAAGAGACCCAACTAAGTGAGAACCATCATGCGACAAATGCAAGGGAGTGGCATGAAGTAGTCACGTCCAAAGTAGCTGAAGTCGATAAGATGGTTGAAGTCGAGAAGGTGACTGAAGTCGTCGAAGTGGTCGATGACGTCGATGAAGTAGGAATCGAGGTCGATGTCGAAGCAGAGCCTCAAAACACTGACATCCTGAAGAAGTTGATGATGGAGTACCTGATGGTGTGAGTCAGTAGGGTGAAAGAAGGTGATCAGAATGTCAATCGTCAAGACGCCGAGGACGTCGATGAGTGCGCTGTGGACACGCGGAGGCTCCATCTGCTGCTGAAGAACGACCTCATAGAGAGCGGGCTCGTCCTCAGCAATCTCCTCAGCCGAAGGAGAAGGAAGAGGGTCAAATGGCTGAGTAGGAATAGATGTCTCAGCACGACGAGCACGATCATATGCACGCACCAACATCCGACCATGCTCCAGGTGCTCGAGGGGCTCCCAAGTAGCCTCCTCATCAGGATGGCCCTTCCAATGCACAAGGTACTCGATGCGTGGAGGGGTGTCGTCGGTAACTCGGCGAGACACGATATCGGAAACAACGAACTCCTCGTGACCGTCCATGATGATAGGTGGAGGGCGCTTATAAGGACGTCCGGTGAAGCACTCGGACGGTCTGCAATAAGGACGCAGTAAGGAGACGTGGTAAACATCGTGTACGCGAGCCTGTCGAAGGTAATCAGGTAGCTTCACACGGAAGTTGACTGGACTAGCAGCAGTATCCGAACCGATGGCTTGAAGGATGCGGCATGGACCGAAGAAACAACGCCTGAACTTGCAAAGCGTATCCGCTTCGAGCTATAAGTGGCGTGCATCGACGAGCACATCGTCACCGACTTTGAATGGATGACCCATTCATGATCGGTTTGCTCGTGCGGCCATGCGAGTCTAGGAATTGGATAGACTCTCGTGTGCGCGCTTCATAATCGCCGCCATGTGGGCGATCCAGTCATCAAGCGCAGGACAACGATTGTCTGGGCGCAACTGCGATGGTCGGAGGAAGTCCGTGGGTACTCGAGGGTGGTAGCCGAGGTTGCAATAAAATGCCCGTGGGTGGCAAAACAACGTGGTTGCACGCAATCTCCGCGTGGGCTAAGTGTAAGTCTCACTGCTGGTCATTCCTAACAAACTTTCGGAGGATATTACTGAGAGTTTTATTGGTGACCTCAGTCTGACCATCCGTCTGAGGGTGGTAAGACGATGAGAAGGGGAGTTGGGATCCGTACACCTCGTGTAGGTGTTGCCAGAGTGTGCTGGTAAAGTGCGGGTCACGGTCGGAGATGATGCTATGAGGTAAGCCGTGATCTGTCATAACTCGGTCAAAGACATTGTCAGCGACCTAATGAGCGCTAATACGATAACGGCACGGGACAAAATGTGCACACTTCGTGAAGTGATCGACGACGACCAAGATAGCATCATGACTGCGCTCAGTGGGTGGGCGGAGGGGACAAATGAAATTCATCGAGATGGACTGCCAACGACCCTCGGGTATGGGTAAGGGCTGTAGTAACCCATACGAAAGGTGGTTCGTACTCTTCACCTCCTGGCAGGTAGGACACTCCTGAATGTAGGTTTTGACGAAGTCCTTGGACTTCGGCCAGACGTATAGGCGGCAAACACGAGCCAACGTCTTGTGGAAGCCCATATGACCGACAACTGCCTGGTCATGGAACTCTGCTACAGCCTCGACACGGAGTTGTCCGGTGGAGGGAACGCAGATACGTGGTTCGAGCTGACCAGATTTGCCATGCGAGTACACGAGACCATTTTCACCGAGTGAGTATGAGGGAACGGTCTTGCCACTCCGCAGTGTCGCATGGATGACGCGATAATCCGGCAGTGGCGGTAATGAGTGCGATATGCGTCGATCACCGACTGATCAACGGTGGTGATGGAAATGGCATCAAGATGGATGGGTTCCTGATTGTGATCAGGACGGCGGGACAAGGCATCGGCGACTGCGGTTCATTTCACCCTTGATGGGCTAAGTGGTGAATCTGAACTCGGATAAGTCACGCCACCAACGTGCCCATCGAGGGGAAAGTTTGGGCTTCGTGAGGAAAGCCTGGACAACTGAGTTGTCCGTGCGCACCGTGAAGGGCGCCCCATGCAGGTAGTGACGCCAGTGCCGGGTAGCATAAACTACTGCGAGAACCGCATGTTCATAGGCAGTGTAGTTTATCTTGGCAGGCAGTAGCTGACGGGAGTAAAAGGCAATCGGGCAATCCCCGGCACGAGCCTCAACAGTCCCATCCTCCGCAATGGTCGGGGAATAAGTAACGGGAGGACTGCCAGTGCAGGGAAGTGGTGGGAGGGTAGGCGTTTGTCGAGAAGCAGTGTCAGCAGGAGGGGGGGGGGAAAGGAGGAACATGGGGATAAGGTGAATCTGGAGGAGAGGGAAACACCTGAAAAAGTACTGCTCCTACTGCAAAATTTGACGCACCAGTGGTGATAATGAAGGGGCGATCAAAATCGGGGAGGCGAAGAACCGGCGCACAAGTCACTGCCTTCTTGAGGGCACGAAAGGCGTCCTCGCACACGGGTGTCCAAAACCACAGTGAGTTATTCCGGAGGAGGGTGGAGGTAAGGACGTAGGAATACCTAGCGTATCCCTGGATAAAATTAATATAGTAACTAGTGAGGCCTAAAAAACTGCGAAGCTGCTTGGCAGATGTGGGGACGGGCCACTCTGCAATAGCAGTGATCTTCGCGTCGTCCATGTGGAGACCCTGGTCAGACACATGGTGTCCTAGGAAGTCCACTTTGCTCTGAGCAAAGCGGCACTTACTAAGCTTGGCATAGAAGCCATGCTTGTGTAAGCGCTGTAGGACATCGCGGAGGTGTTTGAGATGGTCTTCTAAGGTACGAGTGTAGACCAGAATGTCGTCCAGGTATACGAGAACGTATTCTTCAAGGATGTCCCTGAAGATATCGTTCATCGCCATCTGGAAGGTGGCGGGTGCATTGGTGAGGCCGAATGGCATCACCGTGAACTCGTAGTGGCCGAAGCGCGACCGAAAGGCGGTCTTCAACTGGTCCTCTGTGGCTACGCGGATCTGGTGGTAACCGCTACGAAGATCGATCTTCGTGAAGAAGCGGTTGCCGGCCAAACGGTCAAACAGCTCATCCGCGCGAGGCATGGGATAGCTATTCTTAACTGTGTAACGGTTAAGGCCGCGGTAGTCAATGCAAAGGCGGAGAGTTCGTCCTCTTTACTCGCAAAGCGGACGGGTGCACCCCAAGGGGAGTTACTGGTTTAATGAAACCCAGTGGAAGGAGCTCCTCAAGCTGACGCTTGAGTTTCGTCGCCTCTGGAATCGAGAGTCGGTAGGGTGCCTGATGGTGGACACGATATTCAGGCACGAGTTGGATAGAATGCTCAACACTGCTCATGGGAGGGATTCCGCTGTATGAGAAATACGGGGGGAAAACATCGCGGTACTCTCGAATCAAATCCCGAACGGCGGGCTCTAACTCGGTCGTGAACCGCATGAGTTCCTCAATGTCTGCGTCAGCACAAGACGTATGGGTGGACTCGACAGTGACCGGCGAAGGGACATGGGATGTCGAGGGGGTATCCGCAGGCCGACGGGTGGATGTGGAGATGAGAGCCGCGAAGATGGAGGAAGGGTCAGGGGGATCGGGCTCCAGTGAAACGAGCTCAACCTCGGGACAGAGTGGATCGTAGCGAAGAAGATCAATGACGTTCACTGAGTAGAATGTGACGTCCTCCTCTCGTATGAAGTGAGCAAATTGACGAAGAGAAGTGAAGGCGATGTCTGGGTGGGACCCAGAGGGACGAGGGTTCGGGGGGGGGTAGGTCTGGAGGGGTGTTGCCCGTGGTTCCAATGAGGGGGACTCTATGGGTTTGACCACACTTTGTTTTGAAAACGAGTGTCTCAATCGCCCATTCGGCCTCTAAGCCACGGAACCGGCGAGACCAGGGAGTGCCAAGGATAAAGTCGTACCCAGTCTCCAGCAAGTCGAAGTATGCGGAGGAATGGTAGCGCCGAGGCGCTTGGGTACTATCCGATGGCTGGAGGGTGAGGGAGAAGTGGAGATCAAGGACCGTCTGATCAAAGGAGCGCTGCGTCTTGTTATCTCCGAGGGTAACGCAGATAGGAGAGTGAGACCCGGAGGTAGCTAGGCGAGCTTCCTCAACCACGCGAGGGTGAACGAAATCTCCCTGCGAGCCAGAGTCCAATAAAGCGCGGTACACCCTCGTGGATGTCCCTAGGCGAATAGGGATAATGGGAAGGGTGCGATCAGGGTCAGAGAACAGAGTAAGAAGACGATGCAGGACGTTTACGTGTCAGGTGAGTCGCTCCTGGCGAGCGTGAAGGATGCTCAAATCCAAGGGAGATGACACAACGTCATCGGGAGTCGCCAACTGGGCACTACAACGAGTTGTGTGAATGGCGCGACGTGTCGAAAGTCTTGGAGGCGGAGGACTAGATGCGGTGGTCTGCTGTGGAGCAGCCGGTACCTCGATAGACGGTAGGGCAGAGAGAACAACGTCTGTCATGTCTTGAGGATCCTCTAGTGGGGTAGCCAAAAGGACAAATTGTGCCTCGGTGGTCGGGAAGCCGGCTACGTGCGAGGACTCAGCGATACACTGCACTGTGGCTAGCTGGGTGGGGCTGGTCGGGCGGGGTCGGGGGGGGACTGAGAGCGGCGCCGACGAGAGATGTCAGCATAATGTCGATCGAGGGCGGCATGGTATGGACACCGTGAGGAGATGCGTCCATCCTGGCGGCAACAAAGGCAGCCACAACGGGCCTTGAGGGCGGCACGCTCCTCAGGGGATAGAGCTCTGCGAGGAGGGACAAAATCCTTTGGGAGATCGATCTGAGGAACCGTGGACGTGTGGGCACCAGCCTATGAAACACCCGCGGACGCGTCCGCGGGGTTGAGCTCGAATGGCGACCGTATTTACGGCCGCGTCCGCACAGCGGAGGCGAATTCACCATATTTTCCCTTAATTAAATAATATATATAAATGGGGTTGTAGTGATTAAAAAATCCCTACAACCCCATATTTATTTTTTTGGAAAAAGATAAGTTTTTAGAATTATAAAAAATAAAAAACAGAAAAGGTTGCAGTAAACCGCGTTCAGCAGCGGCCTGGGCGCTGTAACCCAAGCCCAGGCCCAGCAAGCAGTGCGACCACGCGCTGCTCGGCCTCAGGCCGCTGCGGGTGCTGTGTGACCACGCACAGCAAGAAATTCAAAGGTCGAAGTCAACTGTAGGTCCAGGTACCTCGCCCAGGCCCTTGGTCGTGTGCATTGACTTGTATGTGTGCAGGTACCCAGTCAGAACGGTGGACCAAGGAGGATACAGTTTCAACTCAATCCAGGCCGTCGACGACAATCGATCTCAGCCGTGTCTGACTTGAGGACTGGGGTCCAAACCCCGCCGTCAACACTACATATTTAGCTGACTTCCTGGCTTTGACATCTAGACTCTCGTCTGGAGTCTATGGGGACTCGACGCTCTTGCGTCAATGCCGGCTCTCGTCGCTGGCGAGACGCTGCGGGGAGAACTTGACGCTGCGGGGAGAACTTGACGACCGGCGCTCGTCGCTGGTTCGTGGCTTGAGTGTGCGGTGCGACCAGCATGCTGGCTTGCGCACTACTGTTTGAGGGGTCGTCAACGTGGCAGATGCCACGTGTCATCTTCGTGGCTGCTGCCACGTAGTATTGCTGCTGAGGTGGAAGGCGCTGGGCGCCTGTATTGCTGTTCTGCTTGACGAGTACTCGGAAGGAGGATTCAGGACTGTGGTTGGGGTCGTGATACGTACCTGGTGTCTTCAACTTCGTCGTCACGCTGCTGCTTGATGACTGGTCTGCTGGTGCCACGTGGCACTGTTGTACTACATTGTCTTGGATGTCCGGATCTCTGATTGAGACACGATTATGCTGCTAGGAGGAGAAAGTGCCCGAAGAGGAAGTGGGCTGTAGGGAGGAGACTCGTCCACCCTCTCAAAGTCTATTCTCCCTCCTCCCTCTCTCGTCTGTGTATGCATTCTCTCTCATTTTGGGATCATTATTATTATGATTTATCAGCAGTGTTCGTTTATTTTGTCTTTGCGAGTGACGACTGATTATCACGACTGGGCATATTGCAATTTGGTATCGGAGCTCTACTTCCGACATTGTCTATCACGGCGTTCGCGTCTCTCCGACGCGATTGATTACGAGCGCGCCATTTTCTCTCCACGCGCGCAGGTAAGTGATTATCGGGGATGCGAGCCCGACGACGCGCGCGAAGGACATGGTGATGACGGGCAGGATATTGACTGCCGTTGGACTTTGATGCTGACGTGGCACTTCCATGTCCGCGTGAGATATTGATTGTGAACTTCTTGTCAAGTGCTGATGCTATCTCGCCGACAAAACAGAGTTGCCGCATTGCTATTTCGCCAGCCAGAGACGAGAAAAGCTGATTATTTGGCTCCTTGATTACTCGCTGGTACTGGCGAGATCAAGCGCTGACGTGGCAGACTTTGATTAAACTTGGGATACGGCGAGAAGACTGGTGAAGCGCAGCATTGTTGGAGATCACCTTCACGAACGGATCTGGGTAATGAGAGAAAGCGGAGCGGCCAACATTTACCGCTGAAGCCACCCCGACGATCTTTGATTGGTTCGAAGTAATGACTTGGCGAAAGCTGAGTTGGCATACCGGGGGGTTTGGCCGAAGCAGGCACGACGTGCCTCGGGAAACGATTGATGCATTCCGACGCTGGGAGCGGCACGAGCGGCAGACTTTGGCTTGTGGTGCTTGATTGCTGTCAGGGTGATTAGAGTGCATGCTGACGTGGCATTGTGGGGAAGACTGACGTTGATTGGTTGTGTTGTCGGTACTTACCTGTTGTCTGGCTGTGCGTGCACACRTACSYRTGAATGCTAACGATCTTGGCCTGCTCGATTACCTGGAAGAGGAGTCATCACACGAATAGGAGAGAAAACAAAATTAGAACAGCTTATAGAAAAGACATCAATCAAGAGAATAATTAATTATTTTTATTTATTTATTTTCTTGTGAATCCTCTGCTGTACTGACGATTGAGTGGTTGTCCAGCCATCAGATAATATTGTCTGTTTCATTTTTATTTGAGAAAGGATTGGCCTGTTAAGTTTCCTGTTGACGTTAATCATGGCACCGATTGTTCAACACATGCGTCAGTCCCTGCTGACCAGGTGGGTGCCTCATCTGTTCGGTCTTGGGCAAGTGCCTTATGCGGTGGGAGCAAGTAGCTCCTCGACTGAGCCGCGTACACGTGCCCAGATCGAGGGACGAAGAAGTGAAAAGAGCTCCTCTCCGAACTGCTGGTGGATATGGAGTTTGCTGTCCCTGTTGCAAGAGAACACATCCGGGGTAAATTTGACCTTGATGCGATCTCTGATCGTTTGGCCAAAGCTATCACGGGTGTGGAGATGATAGCAGCAGCAACTGAAATCCATAAGGTTATTGGCCAGTGTCGTAAAATACTGGACCAATTTACCATCCAGCAGTTGGAAGAAATAGCTCAGCGAAAGGATGGTGCGCCAGAAGTGAAAGTGGAAAGCATTGAAG